GTTATGATCTCGAATTCAAATGGAAAAGAAAATAATCAACACAATAGTTTTTGGGATTTTCTGATTTATAACTGGAAAATTGAAAACAAGGATATCTACTAAATGGAATTAAAACTACATTTAACAGAAACTAACTGAAGAACTCGCCATAGCCATAAGGACCTGCAGATTTAGATGAGAAAAGAATTTAGAAGGAGATTGAAAAGAAGAGAAGAGAAGAGAGTCTGTTAGAAGAGAGAGAGAGGAGCACGAGAATAATACCAATTTGATCAAATGCCCCTTTTGCTCTTCCAGGAACTTAGTTATAGGATGCTCACGTGCAATCACAGCCCTTCAACTTCATTAACTCCAATTAAATCTCGTACGTCCAGGTGTTATAATTCTATTCGTCATTTCTTTTTTCTTCACTTAGCTCATTTATTCAGGTCATGACAGGTGCTAAAGAATTTTCAGCATTCGGTTTGAAATTTGGGGTCCATTTCAAAATCTTCATATCAACATCATCATTTAAGGCAATAGAATCTCTGGAAAAGATATCATTGAAGTCTTCTTCATTTTCAACATCAATAAAAACATGATATCTATCCTTAGCTCCAATTTTAGCTTCCCCTTTGGTAGTGATAACCTTAGTAAAATCGGATCTGATTCTATCGATGGCTGGTTTTCCTCTAGAAAACTTACCGATTATTGTCCATCGGCAGGTGTCCGCCAGAAGCTCGTGTTCCTCCTTTGTAAATACCACGACTGCTTTGCCATCTATGATTTCGTGCGCTCTTGGAGGGAGCATTATTTTCAGTTTTGATCGATTTCCAATTCTGTATCCTAGAGCACCTGCATACGAGTCCTTTCTATTGTGATTGTGGGTTTGGTCTATTTCCATGAGCTTGGTTCTGAGAGGTGGAAAGTCCTCTGGTTGAGGCGGTCTATTCTTGTTCGCCGGGTCTGGTGGGTCTGGAAATTTGGGGTTGTTGCTTCCTCTGGTGTTACGTGTGTTACCCATAGGGCTCATCGGAGCTGGCCGGTGATAGCCGTAACCAGCTCAAAAGAGCCGTTAGTGATAGTTTGAACTTAACAGTGGAAAAAGAAAGTTGTACGGAGAGAAAAATTTCTTTGTGAAAAATATAACCTTTTTGATCGGAATAATTGCTTTCTTAATAGATGTATCAATTCAAAAGTAGACAAGTAATTAGGGACAGAGGGAGTACAACTCAATGATAACCAACATTGGTTGTGGTGCACTGGTGGGACTATTTCACTCTTGATCAGAAGTTTCGGGATCGAGCATATGGAGAAAATTTTGTTAGGAGTGTCACCCTCGAAAGGACCCTACAATGCGCAAACGGGTTCGAGATGAGAAAATTTTGTTAGAAGTGTCACCTCGAATGAGTTATGCAGTGCGCGATCTAAATTTAGTCAAGGTTCCAATGCGGACTCCGAACATTGAGTGAGTGTAACGATCCATTTGATCGTTTTGAGTACTAGAGCTTTTTATTTCATAAAATACTTTCCGATAGATTTTAAATGGGTATTTTGGACTATTCATAACTAGAATTATGAATTTAGTGGGATAGTTTTAATAACTAATTTAGTTGATGGTTAAAGAAGATAACATTAAAATTAGTAGTGATCCATTTTTATAATTCGTTACATCTAACAATTAGGTTAGTAAATAATCTGTTGAAATAAAGAAGACAAATTAGATGCTTGAGCGTAAAAACAAATTGAGAAGAGGGCTTATTTGTGCGGCGACTACAGGGATCACTCGTATTGGTAAGTTTCTTTATTAATTGTTACCGTGAAGATTTTTGGAGGAATATATTACTTCTGTAACAGTGAAATCGTTAAGGGTGTATTGGGTTGTTACGATGGTTAAGTGCATCAAGTCATTGGCAGTAGGTTTCAATTCTCGTGTGAAACAATTTCAGGCAATCATTACAATAATTATGTGGTAATCATAAAGTAATTATTAGGAGATGTTAATTGAGTAATTGAATTATATCAAAGGCATAGCAAGTGTTGCTCATAAGTGCTTATTTCTCAGTGATTAGTATCGCTAATATAGGTTGGTTGTTCCTGCTATTATTGATGTTGTTAAAATTGGGTGAAAATGTTGTGAGGTATTCACGTGAGTTGGAGTTCTTGGCTAATACCTCTTAATGGTCAATTAATGATTTGGACTAATTCATTACAGTTATATAGTATATAGAAGGGATAAGGGTCTGAAAAATACTTCAACTTTGGTCGGATTTGTTGTTGCGATACTAAACTTTCATGAGGACTTATTACCTCCCTAGATTATTTAATACCGTATTTTTTACCCCCTGAACTATTTAATATAATTTTAGTATCTCGTTATAAATTATGTTTTGATATATGGAGATAGGTAATTAAATATTAGGTGTATTGTATTAGTTCAATACCATTAAAGTTATGCTAATTGGAGGAAGTAAGACTTACCCTTAGGGTTAAACTATAGGAAAATTGATTATGGAATCAGGTAAATTTTTGGGTCTAGACTAGACATATAGTAACATGGGTGTCTATAAACTCG